GGTCACGTGACCTGTCAGTGGCGGCTCCTGCCAGCCAGTTGAAGATTGAACCCCTACTGAAAAGATTTTAAATTACAGCAAATACGACAAGAAAAAAAAAAAAAACCCCCGAGCAATTTTCTTATTTAAAAAATGACAAATTTTCAACAAATGCAAAGTTTACCAGAATCAGTTTCCAAAGTGAGTCAATATCATGTCATCATACACATGTGCTTAGTCAGATGGGCTTGACTTACAGTAACTGTAACGATTGCATGTGTGCAAACATCGCCTCCCTGATCTCAGAGAAGGTCCCATTCACAATACTCCTGCAAAACACCAGTGATATGAGACAAAACGAGACCCTGTTACATACATTACAATAGAAATATAACAGTTATACGACTGATTATGAGCGTGTAATGCTATATTTGCACCTTCAAACACAAGTGTAGCCTACTAAATGATCTAATACAGAAGCTTATGTGGACTTACAGTGAACTGACATCGTTGGGAATGAATCTGGGGATATACGAAGACCCGACGCAGATAATAGACTCCTTGGAGCAGCTACACGAGGAAGGACATTTAAAAACCTTTTTCCCCGCGTTCCCTGAAGAAGCCAGGCACAAAAGCAGCGCCGATATGATCACGACGCTCTGCATGTTGCATGTGTGAATCCGGAGCAGCTCGAGCTCTTCTGCAGCAGTAAATGCAGCACTGAAGCTCCTGACATCAGCAGTCTCTCTCTCCTCTCAGGACTTATTTATTTATTAGGGCGCCCAACATCGGTGGATGCTGGTTAAACAGCCTCGAAGACAGATCTGTTAGAGCTACATTTAATTGCAAATGTTCAGTCGGGAATCCTGAAATATGTGCAATCCTTCTGATAAAAATAAGAAAATTTATCTTCCATTTTAGAGAATGGAGAGACTTTTCCTCTTGTTATTTTGTGGTGCATCATCAAAGTCCACATGAAATCACTTACAGTGCAGTTTTTCTTTCCTGTGTTGATATATTTCCTGCTGAAACAGGATGTTGAGGCTATGGTTCATTTAAACAAATAAATAAATAAAAGCCAATAACCTTACAGACATAAACAATTTGCTGTATTTCTATTTTGTTATAGTCTGAAAATATAGCCAGAAACAAGTACAAATGTAACAGTGAACATTATATTTACAGGGACTGCAAGATCTTTTAAAATTATTTAAAATATATTATGAATTTTTTTTTTTAATAATGTAACCACTACAACTCTAAAGTCATATTGTTAAAGCTGCAGTCCGTAACTTTTTTGTGTTCAAAATGTACAAAATTTATATAATAAGCGAGTACACCATGAATCCATTTTCCAAACCGTGTTTATGGCTAATTGGCTTGTCCTGAATCACTACGGTGCACCTATAATACGTGTTTATATTCGGACTATTTTAGACTGGTTCCGGTACCGATGCGGAGTGTCCCAGTACATGCGTGATTCGCCATAGACATAAACAGAGAGAAGTAGCTCCGGCTACAATGTTCTTCCGCAAGACGCACGCAGTTCTGTTTATTAACCGCTAGAGCGCCAAAAGTTACGGACTGCAGCTTTAAATGTATTGCCAAAATCTAATTTTGTTCACTCTTCAGAAATATGACACATTAAATCTGCTTTATTGATTATAAAATATACATTTTGCATTCAGAGAACTTCTGTGGCATCAAGGAAACTGCTACTTTGTTTCATTTTCACAAATTGCTAGTAAATTTCGCAAAGAAATGGAAAGTAACACTTTGAATTAAATGTGACATTTTGAAGTAGAGTGACATTTCTTGTAAAACTATTGTAAACTTGTAATACTCCAGTAATCTGTTTTATTTACATTTTTGAAAGATCATTTTTACAGTATACAAAGAATCTCGGAATTAATCACTATTAGTTATTTTAATTAAATTATTATTTAATTAAATGTTTATTTATTATTATTAAATAGACATTTTAACTATTAATTATTTTATTTTTATTCATTAGCTTCTATTACTAAAAAATGTGGGGCTTTAGAATATGTTAAAAACAACCCGATCTCATGAAAGTGCGTATAAATAGTACGCCAAATAAAAACGAAAACTCGTGGTATTGAT